AAGAAACGCTGCTCCTGCGAGAACCAGAAAGACAAAGAGTGCATTTTTTCTGTCACATTGGCATCGTCTGGATCAACACCCCGAGGTGAGTCTGCGAGAGAACAAAATTAACCCTTGTGTGGTGTTCGTATTTTTGTTACACAGCCAGTGTTCATGGGTCTGGTGGACCCGCTAGAGTTTTGGCTTTCCAAATTAACACTATCAAACAATTTTATGTTAAATTACTCAACAGATGTTTACTTCATCCCAATTACAAGACATATGAACAGCAAACATGGTTAATTTTTTCCCTTTCCTTTGTTAGATCACATTTATGAATTAATGTGCTTCTCGTTTTTCTTTTATATAAAATGTTATAAATAAATCAGTTATAATCAAGTGGAGTGAGTGGAAAGACACAACACATTTACACGTGAAAAAATAATTAATTGTTTAATTTTTCTTTTGAAAAAAACTGAACACGGGTCTCACAGACCCGAACACCATACAAGGGTTAAACATTTTATGGCTTTGTTTCCTCTGTAATGAAACATTGGAGTGTTGCGATAAAGTTTACTGCCGTAAATGTGATGACAAAAAACGAGAAAAGAAGTTGTCTATAATCTGTCCAAAGGATAAACAAAGCTCTGTGCGTGCAGCTTTAGCAGGCCGTGGGTGGGAGGCTTCTGCAGCAGCTTCAGTCCATGAATAAGATTAACTTTCACTGTTTTGTCAAGGCAGTGATTTTCTGAATTTTCAGTGATTTTCCCCTTATTCTGCCTCAGACCAAAGACATGCACAGTAGCACATTAGCTTCACTGCTGAGTCTGAAGCAGATAAAGTGGTGACATGGAGCAACCATTCACCAACCATTCAGAGACTTGAATGGTTGGTGAGGCTAGAAATTTTCTCTACATTTCTCATTTCATTTCCATATTTCTCCTTAAGAGAGTCAGACTCTGCAGCACCCGTCCTACTGAGCATACATGTGTACACTCAACCACTTATCCACATCAGGGTCATGTGAGGAAAAACTCCCTTTAAACAGGAAGAAAATTCCAGCAGAACCAGGCTCTGGGAGCGGCAGCCATCTGCCGCGACCAGTTGCTGTGAGAGAAGGAAGACAGAATAAAAGACATACTGTGGAAGAGAGCTAGAGATTAATAACAGTATGATTCAGTGCATAGACGTCTATTAACACATAGTGAGAGAAGAAAAAACACACAGTGTATCATTGGAATCCCCCGGCAGCCTACACGTATTGCAGCATAACTAAGGGAGGATTCAGGGTCACCTGGTCCAGCCCTAATGATTCAGCAAAAAGGAAAGTTTGAAGCCTAATCTTGAAAGTAGAGATAGTGTCTGTGTCCTGAATACAAACTGGAAGCTGGTTCCACAGAAGAGGGGCCTGAAAACTGAAGGCTCTCCCTCCCATTCTACTTTTAAATTCTCTAGAAACAACAAGTGTGATGGTACTACAAGGTCATTAAGATAAAATGGGGCTGATTATTTGAGCTTTAATACTAATACTACATTTCTTTAACTCTGTGAAGAGACAAGTGAGTAACAAAGGTTCCCTGAAACAGCCATGTCGGGTTGACTTGAATGTCTTTTCTAGTCCAGTTGTTCATATTTTTTAAAATGGCTGGCCTCAAATAAGAAGTAGGCGTGCAGCTCCCTTCACAATTGGTAGCAATTAACTTCATTTTAGTTCAGTATGCACAAGCAACGAGTAACCGCTTAGATGTGGTGGAGCTAATGAGAAAGCACACCTTTCCTAAAGAAGGGTTGTTTGCTCAGTTTCCTCTCCGTGTTTCAAAAGAGCTTTTTTTTAACCCTTTAACACCAACTCAACAGAGAGTCTGAAATCATGGTCGGACCTTTATCTGCCCACAGCTGCTTAACTCCTCACAGCCTGCTCCCGTTTGTGTGTTGACATTTCATCCTCAACTGTTTCTAGAAATGAGACGCAGTTATAATAATAATAACTCAATTTACCCCTGTTCAAAATAATGAGATGAAAAGATTTAAAGGTAAAAATGTGGAAGATAGTGTAGAAATCTTAGAATAAAATAATAATAAAATGGAAAAAGTAGTCTGGTTTGAGCTTTACTATATGTATTTACAGCATCATCCCTTTTGATAAAGTGCAATTATGCTGTTCAGTGTTTCCTGAATTGGTTACTGCACTGTAAGCTGTTTCATGTCATGCCAGTAAGTCACACTCCAAATTAATTGGTGTAGAAAAAGACAAGTCACCAAAATAGCTTCCAGAGGTTAGCCAAAAACGGCTCCAGTGGTGGTGGGACCGTCTCAGACTGTTAGCTCACTCTAAATATAGCCATGTGGTAAATGCAATCTTCCTGCTTTCACTATAAAGACGCTTTAAAGAGCACTGCCAGCACCCGCTGTCACTAATGATGCCACTAAAGAGCGTTGGGGAGTCCCGAGTGCATTTCCTTTTTCTTCACACACAGCGTCATTTAAAATATGTAACCTTGCTAACATGTACGCAACAGAGTGAACAACATGTTTTATTCTTGCAAATAACCACATCTGTAGACCTAAACAAAATTATCCATTTGAGAACAGCGCTTGAAGGTTCACACTGTCGGTAGGAGAGCAACAGACAGAAGATCAGAACAAGCTGAAATAATGTTGGGTTTTTTTCTACTCGTGTTGTATGTTTAAAGAGAAAATATCGAGTAACACCAGTGTAACCTTTAAAGGACATCCTTTGGCTCCCTGCTATTTTACACCAGAAGAAACAGAAATCTCGGAGTACTTGAAGCACAAAGGCTGTTTTTAAAGTCCGATTTTCACCTTCGCAAGTGTTCAAACAAACAGTGAAGTCAGTGAGGAGTTTCCCTCTCAGTTACAGATGGATGTGTCTGATCATCCAAAAAGGCAGTGATCCAAACTAAAGAGAGAGACGCCAGGATCAGAACCACCTTCAGTGAACTCAAACAAACGCAATTTATTTAACATATGCTCATTTTTGGACTCATTTATTTGACAGCAAGACAACAGAAAACATATTATTATTTTGGCACTGTCACTGACAATATAGCCAATAATTAACTGTCAAACTCAGTGCCTGCCGGCATGACATGCTGTCAGGGATGGCGTGGTCATATTTTAATGGAGACACAGTGTGAGATATGAGTTGTGCTGCTGAATAGACTTTATTCAAAAGTTTTAAAAAGTCCAAATGTAACGTGTTATCAGCCGCCCCTCCACACGCGTGACCTGTAGGCATATACCGCGGAGAAAACAGAAAATTGTGCTATGGAATGATTTGGTTTGATGTAGACACCAAATGAGTAAAACATAATCGTTTGGTGAAAGTTTCAGGGATTGATGTTGTGTCACATCTGGCGAGGCAGACGGTGAGGCGTGGGGAGACTGGGGACCCAAGTGCAGGCAAATGGAAATAAGGGTGGAATGATAACAAAAATGAGCCTTTATTGTCAGCTGTACAAATCCTAAAGAACTGAGGGAGCTATAAATACTGAAACAGAAACAACAAACTAGCAGTGATAAATCATGATGAAATCAAAGATTAACAATAACACAAAACACTGGGTCACCGACCCAGGACCGTGACAGTTTGAAGCCCAAAGTTTTGTCCACACAGCCTCCTATCCACTCGAACATCACATTATATCCTTCTTTGCTTCTGTCGTGATCTCTGCACAACACAACAGGCCAGATGCACAACATCTGAATGAGAGGATATTGTTTTATATTTCTTCCTGTTAAATCACTCTCAGTACCTCCAGTATCATAAAGGATTTATCTTCCTCCAGGTCTAATGCTGCAAGAACTCTGGTCGTGTAGCTTCGTGTAGACAAGAAGAAAGTAAAGGTTCACTCTCAGTCATTTCCAGTGTTGGGACTAACGCGTTATTAAGTAACGCGTTACAGTAACTACGTTATTATTGTGGTAACGAGCACGGTAACTAGTTATTATGCCAAAACCGGGAACGCGTTACTCGTTACTGGGATTTAGATAGGCTCGTTATCTGTTACTTCGTGTGGTGGCTATCGCGGAGCTTCCACAGATTCAATAACATTAACAAGTGGTGGAGGCCAGCAGTGGATGAAGGAAAAGGGAGGCAAGAGGAGAGACCCGAAGCGGCCGCTGGTCCGAGTGTCAGGTGAACTGAACACAAGAAGTTATAACCTGCAGTCCATCTGGGTCAGATATGAACCAAGTTTAGGTGGAGTTTATTTTCGTTATGCTGACTTTTTCGTACTGGGTGCTAGCTAGCATGACGGAGTTTCTATACAGCTGGGTGGGTGCTATGTTACTGATGTTGAACTTTATTTTGTTCATAAGGTTAATTATTAGAGTTGCCAACCATTCCGTAAAAAACAGAATCGTCTCGTATTCAGAGAAAATATTACGCGTTTCTTATTGAGGTGAAAAGGAACAGTTTGTCCCGACACAAAGCTGAAGTTATTCTGTGTCTCTGCTGCACAGCTGCCTCTTCTTCTCTCATCCTCTCACCCTCCCTCTCCTGTTTCTACTTCAATCATGAAACTGATCAATGATCAGCTGATTGGCTTTTCTCTCTTGTTTATTTATCGCCCACTTTGCGCCAGAAAGAGGAAACCAGCCGATGTCGCGGTAAACAACGGCAGCACTTTTAAGCTTGATCAGCTGTTGTTAGAATTTATTTAATATTAATTTCTAGTATCAGCTGATGTGGCTGGAGCCACAGCTGTAAAGCTGCTGGTCATGATATCAGTTTGGTTATCTGGTGAGAGGGAAACATGAAGATGAAACCAGGAGATGTCCTTACTGAATCACCAGAGCTGTGATGGAGAAACATGTTTACCTTTAGTTAACATGAATGAGTTGAAGGGAAGTTATGAACTGTTTCTGAGAGACAAATAACACCAGGATCCTTTTCTAAGTAGCTGACAGCTGGTAACTGTGCAGGGCGGTCTAGCAAAGTGTTGCCAGGGGTCCATGTAGGGCATTAAAAGGAAAGGGGGCACAAGGAAATACTTTCTTATTCTCATTTAAAATGTCTCACTTTTAAAAAATAATTATCTTACAACAAACAATTGATAGATTAATGCATATATACCATCAGAA